TGCTCTCCACAATGATCAATGACAGCGAACGGATGGTCACAGTAAGGTACAAATAAACAGAATCACACTAAGCCTGTTTAGTGCTGCCTGACTTTATAAAGTGTGTTTTTTTTAATAAGTGTGTGGTTGCGTTCTAGTCACTTTGGTCAGCGCTACTGCTTGTTATAACTTTCATTTGCCGTACTCGCCATAATAAACTGTTATTGCTTAGGTTGATCTGCAGCTCGCGGATCCAGTAATGAGTGACCCGACAGTAAAACTAAACATATCTATAACTAGTTTAGGTAGTTTGAGAGGTAATTAAAATATGCAGAGCTGCGTGTCGACTCGTCAGCAGCAGCTGATCTCTCTCTCCCGTCAGATTAGACTTCACTCGTGTTTATGTCCATATCGATCAGATTCAGCTAGTTCTAGCTAATGATATGACTACCTGCTTATTAAAAGACACCTAAACAATAAGTGTCGCTATGCAACTGGGTGAGGCCACAAAGTATAGCGCAGCATTATGCATTTGTTTACATGCCCACCGGAACCCTGAGGCATTACCAACAGATCAACGCACAATCAACCCATACAGGATATCTCTTTCTCCACATTAAGTGTTAGACATTATAATTGAATATTCTTGTCAGTCACATACTCTTCTTGTCTGTCACATAAATGGCACAACTGAAGCGGTATTGCGCTAAAGGGAAATTATTTTGACCGGACATTTTGACCGAAGAGATTTAGATTTGCCGGCTAACGGGAACTCTGACGTCGCCATTTTGTGTGATTCGCGGATGCACTCGGCTCCTCTCGACTGCTGCTTGGGTCTGCTCAGTCAGCTTCCGGATGAGGAGGCATTCGTTCGACCAACTTACAGTAGATAACATTACAAACATTTTTAACAGGGGCCATAATAGTGTAAATAATGTTTGTTTTGGCAGTTATAACTGAATGTAATGTTTTCTACTTTTTTACATCTGGGAAGGCATTTGCCTTCTTCAGATGGAAAGTGTCTTGACCAACAACTTAAGTATTTATTATAGCTATGCAGGGCATGCAAGTGAGCAAACACAAACAAGAACAAACAAACAAGTGAAATGAAGAATACAATTGAAATTGTACAATATAATATTGTGGTGATTAATCTTATAATTCAGTCTAGAGAATGCACCAGACAGCATCTAAGACCTGCAAAAATCAAAATTGTCTAGGGGGAGGCCCCCCAAACCCTTCATTTCATCCGCGCGCATTTTTCAGGGCAATCTCTATTGGGCTCAGGGCCATCTGTAAATTAGCTTAAATGGCCCACAGGGCAGGGTGGGATTTTCACGGCGGCCATGACGGCCATGGCCGTCGTAGCCCCTCGGTCTGGCCGTTATGCCCCACAAATAATTGTACGTCCTACGGCCACCATGGCCTTTGGGCCCCTCGCACTGTTAAAAGTTGCTTTAAAAGTGTCAGAACAGTGGTTTCTGAACTGCATTATGCTGCGTTCACAACGGACGCGATGCGAATACTCGCATTGCTCTAACCGCTGGAGTTTCACCGCGGCTGTCAGCTGTGTTTACTCCTGTCATTCAAACGGGACGCGCTGGAGCGGGGGCGGGGCGTATCTCCATGTAAATACTGTGGTGGAAACCAACTACGACCAAATTAACCTATTTTATCGTGATTTCATTGTAATACACGTTTCAAATTGATGCCGAAGTAACTACATACTGCTACCGGTTAGTAAAAACCATGCTTTAATGCTTTGACAAGTCTGCAGACAAGACGGCATGCGAAAAACCTTTTAAAATGCGTGTTTTGTGAATGGAGATTGGATCGATTAGGCTAAACCAGAGGTGCCCAGTACGTCGACCGCGGGCGACCGGGCAATGCTGGTAGATCGCGAGTCATTCTTAAAAAAAATAATCCTGTTCCGTTAAAATAGACAAAACAGGTTTTGATCCCTCCTCCCTTGGCCTCCCTGCCACTTAATTCAGGAGTTTACTTGATTGACAGAAAAAGCGACCTATCGCTTTCCAGTCTGTTAACCCAGAATGCAAAGCGATACAAAATCAGTCAAGTGCCGGGAAAACTCAAATTAAGTTAAAGAGACAAACAAGAGACAAACAACCAAATGAGTGCGGGACCGAGCAAGAAGCTAAAGACAAACCACTTCCACCCAGAATGGGAGGAAGAATATTTGTTTGTGATGTCACATTCAAAGGTTATTTGCCTTATTTGTAAAGCAAGCGTCGCTCTGCCAAAGAAAGGTAACGTGGAGAGGCATTATCGGAGTGTTCACAAGGCATATGACAGCGACTTCCCTCCGAGTAGCGAGTTGAGAAAGGTCTGTATTATTGCTACACAAACATTATCTCGCAGTCTTAGTGTCCCCAACTCGTTTCTAACATGCACAAAGACAAACAAATGTCGGTGTATTTTCGACCTTTCCAATCCAGACGAGATCTCTCTCCCCCGTCTGTGCGCGAGGGGGCGGGGCAGTTTACACACACGCGGCTGCTACAAGCAGAAACACACGGAGGGGATGGCGGAGAGAAGCGCTCCAAGGTGTGGTTACATGTTACCCGTCTTGAGGAGGACAATGCTCCTTGCCAAGAGAGAGTTCAGCATGTGAGGGCGGGAACACGAGCAATGTGTCGAAACATTTATCAAAAGCGCACCACATCCAGACGGAGGAATGCACCGGGTTCCACTGTCTTTCTAGTAGCTCTGCAGCCCCATCCACGAGTAACGTTTCCACGTCAGGTGTTATGTATGCTAGCAGCAACACACGCAGTTAACTCAATGATTCAAACATGGAGTTAATGATTAGAGGAAACTGAGTTACTCTTTATTTTGTTAAAGTTTCAGCTATTCTGTTCACAGTTCTGTCATCACATTATTTAATACGATTTGTTAAAACATTGTTGTTTCTTTTGATGCGAAATATTATTTATTTTATTTAAATAAAAAGCAATGTTAGTTTTGTAAACAATTTGTTAATTTAATAATATATGTATTTTTGAATCAAGTATTCATCTTTATTGTCTTCATTGTTAGTTTCCACATGCCTAAAACAACCTCAAGCTAAATCTAAAAGTTGATGGCTAAATAAGAGGGTTTGAGAAATTGTGCAAGGCATACAGTAATAGTCTGAATAGTCGATTAGTCGTTTCATTAATCGATAGATTAATCGATTATCAAATGAGTCGTTTGTTGCAGCTCTATTATCCCATGTATAAATAAAACGTGTTATTCAGCAACCCTTGCAATTTGGGATTTTATTTTTGGTTGGTAGACCTCGGTGAGCTGGTCATTTCAAAAGTAGCTCACCAGCCCAAAAAGTGTGAGCACCCCTGGGCTAAACTAACGTTGTAGCTGCTTCGTCCAAACTCACAACAACGTCCTAAAGACAGAATTAACGCAGCGACTGTATTCGTCATGACACAGACAGTCTGTGGTTTGTACATCTTTAACTTTTGTCCAGTTTCTGAACAGATATGAGGAGCTGTGAGGAGTCACACACACACACACACACACACACACACACACACACACACACACACACACACACACACACACACACACACACACACACACACACACACACACACACACACACACACACACACACACACACACACACACACACACACACCACACACACACACACACACACACACCACACACACACACACACACACACACACACACACACACACACACACACACAACACACACACACACACACACACACACCACACACACCACACACACCACACACACACACCACACAACACACACACACACACACACACACACACACACACACACACACACACACTTTTGCATTTCAATGTATTGCTTGTTCATACAGTTGGATGTTGGAGCTTCACTGTGCACTGCTGAATGATGTATGTGCAGAGTTTGACCCTTGAAGGCTGTTTCTTCTGCTCTGAAATGGAATATATTTGTTACATATTAATAGAATTTTAGATTTTTAGATTTAATTTCGGATTTGTGAATGGGAGAAGTAGTAGATGGAAAACATACCAAACACTAATTATTAAAAGTAAAGTATTTAATTTTATATACGGTAATACTAAGGAGGCATAGGCCTATATGATGATACGATTATTGATATTAAAAAAGTGATTTGTTTTTTGTCATTAGAAAGTGAAGTTATTTATTTGTAAGCTCCAAATCCTAATTTTTCCCTCAATGGCCTTTGTGCCTTGCATGTGGCCTTTCCGCCCTGAAAAAATGTGTGACACCAAAGGCCAAATGGCCTTGCCCCTAAAATGACGAAAATCCAAGCCTGCCACAGGGCCATCTCCCAAAATCCTTAATGTCATGCACTGCAACATGTGATGTTTTGTAAATGATTACATGTCTCTTATTTAGCACAGAATATGATCCTACCCGTGACATATGGATCTTAACAAAGGGCCGCTATATCAGATACCTGTAGATAGGGCTGCTCAATTAAATCGTATTTTAATCACAATTACGGCTTGCAACGATCACGAAAACAACGTAATCGAAATAAAACGATTCTTTTTTTTTTATTGGTTTTTCAGTTGAATTCTACTTAAAGTTCGAGGTAATCAACTGTTAAAAACATACTGTTCACATTTCTTTTCTCCAATAAATTCATGTTTTCAAAGTAAATGGATAATGGTTTTTAATAATCGTGATATCAATTATTGACCCAAATAATCGAGATTATGATTTTTGCCATAATCGAGCAGCCCTACCTGTAGATCTATCAGCTGTTTATTTCACATGAGTTCCAGTGTGGCAGCTTTTTAATCACTGCTCCCCCTGGTGGATCCATGATCCATTGCAGCTGGTTTCATTATAATTTAATGGGGGGGCGTATCAAGTCATGCGGGGGTTTTCCTTTCAGCGAGGATCGACTCCGTGCCGATCACGGCCCCACTGCGGTAGGGACGTCCGAAATGAGGTGCTCCATGTGTATGCATGTTTTTTGCACTTTTAGTATCAACTAAACTGTGTGGTACCTTTGCGTGGACAAGCCACCTCTCTCTTGGCCTTCCAGCGCTGGATGGAGGCGAAGTGTCGAGCGGCAGAGTGAGGGTCCAGGCGGGGCAACACCTTGTCCAGCCCCTGCAGCCTCCTGATCACCTGACGGGAACGGGGAAACACACCAAATGTGAGGTAATGCATGTTTTTTTTAAAACTATGGTGTTTAATGGAAGTCTATACTGTGTGGGGACATTTTAATCTACAACATAAACACTTTGTATTTGTTTGTAGGATATAATAATGTTTCCTTGGTAGGAAGATAAAAAAAGCAGTTTTGGAAGTAACCTTTTTAACTGTAGGCTACAAGAGATACTATAAGCCTAGCTTAAGACAAAGACATGAATCAGTGGGAAATAGCTAGCATGGCTGAGCTTAAAACGACATCTGCTAACACTTTTAATTCAGTCTGAGGATCAGGTTTGTTTAAAGCTTAGACAAACCATAACTGAAAAAGACTTGCTGGCATAAACTATTTCGAAATACATTATGTTATAAATGAAGTTTAAGAAATGTGAGCAAGCATATTTCGTAAACTTTCCCTCTGTTTCCATGCTTAATGCCAACTGCTATAATGCCACTAAACAAATAAAAGTTATACATTTGGTTTTTTTCACTATTAAAAAGAAACATATCACTATATTGTTGTGTAAAATAAGCCATCGTTGAGTCTGTAATGATTTTGTGCCGCGAACCCTAATGTTGCTAGCTAGCTAGCTAGCTAAATGTGGCAATCATCACTTCCTTTGAATCACACACTGCACGCTCACAGTGTGCAAAATGGCAGTGTACTTAGAAAAGTGTTAGAATTGAGACACAGCATCAGTTATAAACAACAGGCTAAATCTAAAAGTAAGACTCTGAACATGTGTAAATTGACATACAATACTGTTCACAAGTTCTGCTAATGCCTCCTGAAGTCTGTGTGTAGTACATTTGTATCCCCAGTGGACATGATGAAGCACAGTGGGGCCCATGAACTACAGCTTCACTGTGGTAGCCATTTTGGCCAGTGGCATCCACAGAGGAAGCACTGAATTTGACAAGGCTGCACTCTTTCTGTACACAGAGGTCGAGGACTAGTTATCATGCAGGTTTTGCTCTATGATTAGCTATCAGGCTGTGGTTAAAACTGCACCTGTGCTAATACCGCAGCACTGTGTTATGCAAAAACACAAATCATAAATTGTATAGGTCTATCTGAGGTTTGATTCAATTCTGCTGCACGCCAGTTTTTTTGTTTGTTTCAAGGTCCTTTATAACCATTTAAATAACAATCATATTTTATTACAATTTATTAAAAAAAGGTGTCACATCCGTCCCAGTTACAGGTAACAGATGTTCTGCCATACTGAACATTACCTTGTTATTTACACTTCATTCATCAATTTTAACGCTAATGTACATTCTAGAAAATAGTTTTATTGTATAACTCATGAAATTCACTCTGTACAGCCATGGTTATATTACAGGAACTATTTTTAGCTCATTAAGCATACGTTAAATGGAAGTGAGTTTCCTAAAAACTATATTATTCCCTTAAATTGAAGTCAAACTAAAAGCTATAAGTATTACAAGTTATATAGTAGTAGAAATCCGCAATCGCAGACTTATACACTTTGACACCCCTGCTATATAAAGGAGAAGCTATTTCTGACTAACTTCCTCAAAAGTTACAGATATTACGGTATTTTTATCAGTACTGGAGACATGTAAAAAATATGTCTCATTGCTACATAAACATTATATTGCTGTTTTAGTTTCGCCAACTCCGTTTCTAACATGCAAAAAGACAAAAAAAATCGTCTATGGTGTATTTCCGATCTCCCTACATGCAGCAACACACACACGGCGGAGATGGCGGAGAGAACTAAGCACTCCAAGGTTTGGTTATATTTTACCCGTCTCGATGTGGACAATGCTCGTTGCCAAAAGTGCAATAAACCTTTCGCATGTAAGGGCGGTAACACGAGCAATCTGTCCAAACATTTAGCTAAAGTGCACCACATCCAGACAGAGAAATGCACCGTTTGACAGCCTTTCCGTTGCCCCATCCACGAGTAACGTTTCCATGTCAGGTATGTTATGTATGCTAGCAGCAACACACCGAGTTAACTACATTATACAAACATGGATTAATGATTAGAGTTAACTGAGTTATTTATTTTGTTAAAGTTTCAGCTACAATGAAACAACCCACCACTCCCACCGTCAGTGGTCCAAGCCATATACAAGCCCAAACCCCGTTCACGTTAGCATTAGCAGCTAGTGGGAGGATGACTGAGGAGAGTCTGAATGCTTGCCACTTGGCCGTGACCACGTTCATAGTGAAAGGCCTACACCCCTTTGCAACAGTGGATTCCAAGGGCTTCAGGTAACAGTTTGTCAAAATTGAGTTGTATTAATTATTAGGATAAAGTAGTAGTATGTTATTCGCATCACTCTAAACACAATAACTCAATAATAGACTGATTCATTTTTTTTTTTTAACACTTTCTATATGTTATTTCTTCAAAATACAAATTTGTGCTTTTCTTACACACAGTATACATAATAGTAGACAAAGAAACATTCCTTATATGCCTTTTAATCCAAAAGCATTTGTATTTCCTTTACTGCAGGGAAATGTGCAAGGCACTCAACCCCAAATATAGCCCTCCTTCCAGGAGTTACCTCAGTGATACATTAATTCCTACCTGGTATGGTATAGAAAAGGCCAATGTGATCAGTGAGATAAAGGACGTGCCCAAGCTTGCCATCACATCAGATGGGTGGACCAGTCTCAGCCAGGACCACTACCTCACTGTAACAGTGCACGACACAATCCAGGGCATCTTAAAACAGAAGGTCCTCCACACAAGCGCAGTGTACAAATCACAAACCGGTGAAGTAGTTGCAGAGGAGATATCTGACATCCTGGAAGACTTTGCGATAGAACCAATCAAGATTGTAGCTGTGACTGTTGACAATGCTGGTAATATGGATGTTGCCATGAAGAAGCTGCACATCCTAAAAATAGGATGCATTGCGCATACTTTAAATCTGGCAGCGCAGAAAATCTACACAGTGGCTGCTATTGATAAATGGGCAGCCAGAATCAGAGCAGTGGTTGTCTGGTTCAAGAGATCCTCGATGTCAGCTACTATCTTGAAGGAAAAGCAGCAGCTCCTTGGTAAGAAACTATTATTTAGAAATTCCCAAATTTAACAATTTAATTCAATTTTCAAGTGTCCAGTACTTACATGTAAGTTGTTTTTGTTTCAGGCCTTCCACAACACTCCTTGATCCTGGATGTCAAGACCAGAGGCCTGTACTACGAAGCTGGTTCAACCTAACCTGGATATGTTTGAGTTAGCCGGTTGGCCTAATCCAAAACATACGCGCTCTCGCTAAACTGTACTACGACACGGGTTATCAAGTGGATCGCTCAAGCCAGCCGTGTCCTATCTAGTTAGGTGCGCGTTCACATGAAAGGGGTGGTATTTGGAGCATTCGACCAATCACAAACATGGACAAGCGCACTGACAGCGCAGCGTCATACTTCCTGAATGAAAAGTCAACTATATAATTAGACAAATATGAAGATGTTAAACTTTAAACATCCATGACTTAAACACTTTATCCAGGATAAAAGCCACATAGCTGCACCTGCAAGCTGAATACAGCTGGAAAAAGTGTTTGAATGCGTACGTTAACAGGTTTATGATATCACTGCCCCGTCCAAGACACGATTTGACTTTCATTACATTTGTCTCGAGTGTTTCGTCAACTTAATGTGTTGCTTAAAATAATACTTCGGCATACAGTATGTGACACTGTGAGTGTTGCACGGCCAGATACGGCTCAGCTGACTCAGATAAGAAAATATATGATGTGATATGCCACGGACTGTACTTAATGTTACTTTGATCCGGTTACTTATGTTGTGGCAGATATTTAAGTAAGCTTTCTTAACACTAATGTTATAATAGTCAGATTGCTCTGAAGATGGAGGTGATATTCTATTAATGTTCACGTTCACACAGTCGGTGATTTTTGCCGGCCGTCTTTCCTGCAACGGCAGCTTTTCTGTATTTCCTTTCTCCTGTAATATGACTTGATCGCTTTAAACTCCGCACACTGAGCTCTGATTGGTCAGCAGGCAGTGCTTTCACTGAGTTGAGCTCTTAGCCTGCAACCTAACCTGGTCCCGACCAGGTTAGCCGCTAAGTATAAGTTACCATGGAGATCTAGCCTGCTAAAAAGAGAACCAGCTTCGTAGGACCGGAAAGCCGGAGTTTTCCCTGAAGTTAGCCGGCTAAGCGAAAATCCTGCTTCGTAGTATACTCCCCAGGTGGAATTCCCTCTATTTGATGATAGAGAGATTTATGGAGCAGTTTCCAGCGATCCAGGCAGCAGCTTTGGATCCACGACTGCGAAAGGCTTTGACAAAGGACAACCTGGACCGCCTGAAGGATGAGGACTTTCATAAGGCTGAGGAGTTTGTCAAGCTCATGAAGATCCTGTATACATCCACAATTTGTGTGTCTTATGAAACAGAATAGCTGAAACTTTAACAAAATAAATAACTCCGTTACCTCTAATCGTTAACCCATGTTTGTATCATTGAGTTAGCTCTGTGTGTTGCTGCTAGCATACATAACGCCTGACGTGGAAACGTTACTCGTGGAAGGGGCTATAGAGCTACTAGAAAGACAGTCGAAAACGGTGCATTTCTCCGTCTGAATGTGGTGCACTTTTGCTAAATGTTTAGACAAATTGCTCGTGTTAGCGCCCTTACATGCTAAACTCTTATTGCACTTTAGGCAACGAGCGAGACGGGGTAAAGTTTAACCACACCTCAGAGCGCTTAGTTCTCTCCGCCATCTCCTCTGTGTGTGTGTGTGTGTGTGTGTGTGTGTGTGTGTGTGTGTGTGTGTGTGTGTGTGTGTGGTGTGTGTGTGTGTGTGTGTGTGTGTGTGTGTGTTGCTGCATGTAGCAGCTGCGTGTGTGTAAACTGCCCCGCCCCCTCGCAAGCAGGCGGGGGGGAGAGATCTCTCGTCTGGATTGGAGAGATCGAAAATACTAAAAATGACGCATTTTGCAGTCTTTTTGCGTATTAGAAACGGAGTTGGCGACACTAAAACTGCAATATAATGTTTGTGTAGCAATAATACACATGACATATTTTTTACATGTCTCCAGTACCGATAAAAAGAGCGATAACGTCGGAGCTTAACGGTACCAGGGTCTTTAATAATTCAGCCCCGGGGCCCGTTTAATACCGGGGCTCGGTACCCATCCCTAGTTTCAAGCATCAAAGAGAAGGTATGGGGAAACCTCTCAGGACGATATCAAGGGGAGGATATTCAAGCCTTTCTGCATGAGGCCACAGCAATGGACCCCAGATTTAAAGGAAGGCTGGTGAGTGATGCCACCTGGGACAGGCTAAGGAGGAAGGCAACTGTTGAGGCTAGGGATGCTCCGATCGATCGGTCACCGATCGAGATCGGCCGATACTCACTCTCTACCGATCGATCGGTGCTCTCTAAACATGCCGATCGCGAGAGCCGATCGCATGACGAAATGGCAAAAAAAATGTAAAGTTGCCGACTTCGCTAGAGATTTTTTTCGCTAGCAGCAGTGAAGATAGAGCCTCAGAACCTGAAGTCTTCCACTCTTCTGAAGAAGAAGAATACAAAGACAACAACAAGGATCCATTTGGACATGGGTAAGTGTAAATATTACAGTAATAGTGTACTGGCAATGTGTGGGGAATACCGCGAAAATGAACAATAGGTTTATTGATATATTTTGTATCGATAGTCATAATAATAATAACTTGAATTTATATAGCGCCTTTCATAACCTCAAGGTCGCTTTACAAAGAAACATACAAGGACAAGACATAAACATAAAACAGGGGGCAGAAATGGAAGTGTAAGTGGGGGGGGGGGGAGTGAGTTATTGTTGGAAGGCGATGTTGAACAGATGAGTTTTAGGGGTTGATTTGAAGATGTTGAGAGAAGGGGCGTTGCGGATTTCTGCAGGGAGGGAGTTCCAGAGGGTGGGGGCAGCGACACTGAAGGCACGGTCCCCGAAGGTGGGGAGGCGTGAATGGGGAATGGAGAGCAGGCCGGAGTCTGAGGATCGAAGGGTGCGGGACGGGATGTATGGTTGGAGGAGATCTGTGAGGTACTGAGGGGAGAGGGCATGGAGGGATTTGTAGGTGAGGAGGAGGAGTTTGTACATGATGCGGGACTTGACCGGGAATCAGTGGAGGTTGAAGAGAGTGGGGGTGATGTGCTGCCAGGGCTTGGTGCGTGTGAGAATATGTCATGAACTTTTTCTTGGGACAAAATAGACTCTCCATTAGCAAACGTTACTCTGTGTTAACGTTATTTTGGTGTGTAAAAGTGAGATTACATGTGTAGATGATTAAATTAATCATTCATTCGTCCCACAACGGAGACATTTACAGTGGCTATAGACATGGTTTTGCCATCGATTATTTTATCATACTGTTCTGTACAGATGAGGCTTTGTCATAGATTTATTTATATGTGTGCCTGTGATTATTTTACCGTCCTGTACAGATGAGACTTTGTAATCAAGATGTATGTATGTGTGTCTGTGATTTTATACTGAATGTAAAGTAACTGGAAATACCTGTGTGTGTGTGTGTGTGTGTGTGTGTGGTGTGTGTGTGTGTGTGTGTGTGTGTGTGTGTGTGTGTGTGTTGTGTGTGTGTGTGTGTGTGTGTGTGTGTGTGTGTGTGTGTGAGAGAGAGACTCCTGTCCAACCTCCCAAACTTTCTTTTTATGTGTGCATTGTTATTTTTTGCTTGAACAACATTTTACTTGAACTTTATTTCAATGAAATTAGTTGTAATTATTGTCCTACATTTTAATTTGTTTTACAGAGATGTTTCACAGCTGTCTGGGCCTAGTGGCCCACAGGCGGCGTTTATCCAGCAGCCAGAACATCCATCTGTGCCGGCCCCCAGGTCAAGATCTACCGTGGCTCAAGGGCCTTCACCAGAGCCATCACCACCAAGGACCAGCAGACCAGCATCACTGCATCATCTGCGGCTGCCACCAGGTCAAGATACACCTCAGCACAAAGGCTCCACCACAGCCATCACCTTCAACCCAGCCAGCAAGGAGGTCTCGTATAGCACTTGTACCCCCCCCCACCTACACAGCAGCCAGACCCACTGTCTTGGAAGACAGACAAATACCTTGACACTGTCTTGACATTTATAATGAATAGTTGGTTGAAAGTTCTGATGTTCAATATTGTAAATAGTGAGATTTTCCAGTTTCTTATATTTATATAAATAGTTGGTTGAAAAAAAAATATGTAAATGCTCCAGACCAGAGATTGTCCTGCACATTTTGATATGTAACACATGGGGTGCCATGTTATAAGAAGTACATTTAAAAGGTGATTTAAGGAAACATCTAAAAATCGAGATAATACCCTTAGACTCCAGAGGGTTAATGACTATTTTTCTGCTACTTTCCTCTGGATAACTTTATAAAAGTAAATGTAACTAACTTCTGCTTGACCTGCACCTCAGCTCCACCTGTGATCAGATACAAATCAAGCAAGCTGCTGTGTGCTTTAATTCTCAACGTTGAATGGTTTTTATGATTTATTATCTTCGGTAAATATTACAATTCGTTTTTGGGTTTACGCTGATAAATATCTGTCCAGGGAGTGAGGATGAAAAATAGCATCTTGGCTAGCTCACAAATGCATTTACAGCAATGGTCATTTATGTGTACTTTCCCTGTTGAATAAATTCATATATAAATACATTTTAAACAAACCCTGTTCTAAATCACAGATGCCTCATAATATCTGGTTTAATACCATATATTGTTTTAACTATCTCGTGTTTAGCTCTGTCTTACCTCGTAGTTGTCCTCTATGAAGGGGAACTGTCTCTCCTGCAAGAACGGAGTTTTAGGGATGTCCAGTCCGTCTTCACCGTACAGGAACTGCACCACCGAGCCATCGCTGTCCCTCACCGTCAGATCATACTGCACCACCAAACCCTCCAGATGCTTTATGACACATCTGCAGAGGAGAGGGTGTGAGGGATGAGAGAAGAGAAAAAGGACAATGCATGCTACTATGAGTTTCTTCAGTCTTGTTAAGACGGTCAGTGAAAGCAGATGCAAGTGATATTGTTTTCAATAGCTCAGCCGAGGCTGGGCGATATGAAGCAATTCGAACATCACAATATTTTGGATAAAATCCTTCAATATTGGGACAGTAATAAAAATGATACTTTTCGCATGGATATATTGTCTTAGTGAAAAATAATACACATACATTTAAATATTACAACACTAATGTAATGCGGCCTTCAAAACCAGGCAATGTTGATACACGCAATTTTTGTAGGTGTTTTTTAACTTTATAGACTGTAAAGAATATAGTTTGTATTTTGAGCAAAGTACATGTATGGATAAACCAAGTCAATAATAAAAAGAGTACCAAGACCATATGTATGTATTTTTCTATGTTTTTTGTTTTATGCTCTGTCAAAGCACTATATAAGTGTCATGTATTATTATTATATTTAGAGTCAGATAACGATTACAGGGTTCTTACACCTTTTCCAAAGTCAAATTCAAGCACTTTTCAAGCATTTTCAAGGTGCATTTTCCAGCTTTTCAAGCAGCTTACAGCTGTTGTAAATTACATATTTATATACACATACTCAAATGATTATTTCCCTACCTCACATTAAATCAGATGTTCTTTATGCTATAAACAACCAAATGTGTGTTTCGTGATAGCCTTCTACACGAGGATGAAAAATTAAAGAAAAGAAAACTAAGTTTAATATTTCAAAATGAGTGACCCATCTGTACGTCCCATATAACCTGTCTGAGCCGATATAAAACAATCAGCCAAATACATTTTCAATACATTATTGATTACTATTTTTGAGGTGCTTTTAGGTTGGCAGTGAACACAAGTCAGAGGTACATGGTGTACTTCTACTCCACTACAGTTCAGAGGTACATGGTGTACTTCTACTCCACTACAGTTCAGAGGTACATGGTGTACTTCTACTCCTCTACAGTTCAGAGGTACATGGTGTACTTCTACTCCACTACAGTTCAGAGGTACATGGTGTACTTCTACTCCTCTACAGTTCAGAGGTACATGGTGTACTTCTACTCCACTACAGTTCAGAGGTACATGGTGTACTTCTACTCCACTACAGTTCAGAGGTACATGGTGTACTTCTACTCCTCTACAGTTCAGAGGTACATGGTGTACTTCTACTCCACTAAATGTATTTAATACCTTTAGTTACTTCACAGATGTGGATGAATGATGTGAAATCTAATCAAGTGTTTAATCAGACTTTAGTTCCACCTGGAGTAAATCCACAAGCTACCCTGCAGTATACAAAGTCATTCAAACTAGCTGCACCTTTACCAGCTTTGAGAAGACTTTCATGATCAATCATTATAAAACATATCATATATTCTGAAATGGACCAATCTGCACAACGACTACTTTTACTGTCGCTACTTTAACTATATTTGGATGAGAATACTTTTCTACTTTCACTTGAGGAATATTTTGAATGCAGGACTTTTACTGTGACAGAGTATTCCTACACTCTGGTACTTCTACTTTTGCTAAGTACAAGATCTGAGTACTTATAATTTCACTACAAGATCTGAGTACTTATACTTTTACTCAAGTACAATACCTGAGTACTTATTCCACCTCTAGTAGTGTATTAGTCTGAATTGTAGCCACAAAATCACGCAGAGCTGCATAAAATAGCCTCACAATGGTAACAAGTGGAAAATAATATTTACAAATGTGTACAATGATTTGTAGGTAATGCTGACTACTCAAGACACCTTACTTATACATCTTCAAAGGAAGACTGTGTTCATTCTACAATTACATGGGATTAAAGCAACATGTAGTTTTACTTGTATAATACTTCAATTTTATATAAAAGAGAGTTTGTTTTCATGTTTTCAAATAAACAAAGTATTGGCTTTCAGAATATTAAACTTGTTTCGGCAAATTCAGATGATAAATACAACTTTGAAGCTTCGGCATAATTACAAGCAGAGAACTGAGTAACTTAACGTCACAGCAGGCATAACAACAGCTGGTGTTTCTTGTGAGTGTTTCCCCGGTACACAAACGCAATACACACAAACACACTCGCGAGCTTCCCCCAGGCCAGTAATACAAACGAAAATGTGTCTTCGGGTCAATGTGACTGATTTCGATAGAGCAAGTCACATTTGGTTTAGGCACGAAACATACTACCAGTAGAAATACATTGCTTTCAAAATCGCTCTGTGTCGAATCAATAGATTATATTTTGTGACTATAACACGAAATGCCGTGAGTGCTTCATCCTCTGAACACCACAGGATGGCGACTGTAACGCACATAACATAGGTACGCTCCTCTGAAATGATTGTCCCCTGCAATTATTATTATCCCTCATGGAGTTCGCTATTCAGCTCGCTAACGTTAGCTTAAACAAACATAACATGCAACGTTAGCCTAATCTAAAATGCTCTACTACGGCGTACCTTTCATGTGGCTCGTCAGCGCAGACTCTCCCATCGTTATTTTTGCAAACTTTGCAGGAGGCTACTCGTGGGCTTGACCCTCGTCTTAGCCATGGCTTGTATTTGTCTTCTGCTAGCCAACGCTCGTTGAAACTGCAACCTCCTGGCACACAGTCATCTATCACTCATCAGAATGCCCAGGTCACACGTAACACAAACACTTGCAGGTCGCGCGCATAGCGCGGGACGGCCGCAGCGGAGCTGTTTTAGAAACGAAGCAATTATTTTCTTTTAATCTAAAAAGCGAACTATTCAGTCAGACAGCAATTTATTGTAAAAGTAAAGCATTTACATTTTCAAGCACTTTATCTCAATTTCAAGCACCATTCCCAAAATTCAAGCACTTTCACAACCTTGAAAACACCACGTCAAATTTCAAGCATTTTCAAGGATTTCAAGCACCCGTACGAACCCTGGATTATAAATAATATAAGTATGTACAGATGTAGCACCTAATTTCAGACTCTAGTTTACAGCTTCCTGCGTACAACCTGCCTAAAACCAGTATCGAGGAATGTTAAGCCCTCCCACTATTTTCCAAGAGGGCGTTGCCAGATTTTCAATTTCAGGTTTTAACCAGGAGATCGTGCTTCATTCACAAATACAGAAAGACAAGTTTCATGGACTTTCAGTTGTGTTTTGAAAAGCATTTGAACACATCAATATTTTAGATCAACTAAAGTATATCTAATCTTGTAATTCAATAATATATAGTCTTTATATATTAAATAATCATAATAATAATGTAAATGTTTACATTACACTTCTTTATTTGTTATGCTCATACTTTTACCTTTACAATCGTTTGCTTTAATATGCAATATATTTTTTGTATATTTTTGTGTTTGCTTCCTCCTGCTCCCTTTCGGACACATACTGTATGATTTATTATTATTATTAATAAGATATTAAGATAAGATAAGATGTTACTTTATTGATTGAACATTTTAGTTTAGAATGTGCTTTCCCACGGTAATTCAGAAGGCTCACAGGTCACATTCCGACCATTATTTAAAACAATAGGTGCTTTCACACTGTCTACAGTTTGATTAGCATAGAGGGAGCGATTAGGTGTGGCGCATTTATCATTAGGTGATCAGAGCAAACGTCAGATTTCATTTAAAAAACAGGTCTGATTTTAAGACTATTTCTGCGCTCATAAAGAATGATAAGAATAAGAATAATGCGTATTGAACTGGTTTCATTAATTAGTGAGTTTATTTAACGAAACATGGAGGAACAAAAGTCTGCGTTTAAATCGTGTGTGTAGAGAATATTGTCATTGTTGAAGGCTTTTAGAGAAGGGTGAATTATAAGCCTGAATTATATAACATTTTATACCTAAAACATAAAAGCCACAATAAATAAATCACAATTATTCTAGTTCGTTTTACCTCCCGTATTGCTTTCAACCCACCAGCTTTTATGGTGTTGTTACATCACTAACTGTAAGCTTGTCACTCGGAGTAACCTACAGTACAGTTAATTTAGCTGCTGGAGAAGAAAGATCAGGGGGGGGGGGGGGGGGGGGGGGGGGGGGGGGAGAGAGCTGTGGTTGATGGGCCATTAGTTGTGTAAATACACAGCTGAGAGCTGCCGTTTTATTCAGACTGTTTAAAAAACGGTAACAACGGACTATTTTTCTTAGCGGATGCATGTCAATTTAAATCAATACAACAATTTTTTAAATCAATAAAAACATTTTCTAAATCCACAAAAGCATTTCAATTAATATTGGGAGTCATGTCGTTACTTTGTTGAGAATGTGGCCATGTAATAAGCGGGATAATTTGCAGCGACTTGTTCCTTATGGGGAAAATAACACCCTTCATTGTTAGTGAATTACTGAGTTTAGGCACGTTAATAACGTTTTAATGAAGTTGAATACAGTATATTCATATGTGTCAGTGATTTCATGTCAATTCGGCGAACATAAACATAAATGATCGTGGTGAAGATGATGATTAAATTAGGATTACAAATCGAGAGCCGGGCTACATTTCCTCCCGTTCGTTTTTTTCGACATGGTGATGTTTTGTAAATGATTACATGTCTCTTATTTAGCAGAGTATGATATCCGTGACATATGGATCTTAACAAAGTTCCGCTGTACATCCAGCGTACTGTATCTGACTTTATTTTACATGAGCTCCAGTGTGGAACCCCACTGCACCCCCTGGTGGATCAATGAATCCATTGCAGCTGGCTTCATTATAATTACATTTATTTATCACGGGGGCCGTCTCAAGTCAAGCTGGAGGTTTTCCCTTGAGCGAGGGCAGATCACGTACCAATCACGGCCCTCGCGTTTCGAACTGTCCGAAATGAAGCGCTACATATGTATTGCTCAGCCCTAAGCTCCGCTGATGCCTGATGTATGTGTGTAGTACATATTGATCCCCAGTGGACATGATGAAGCACCGTGGGGCCCATGAACTACAGCTTCACTGTGGCAGCCATTTTGGCAAATGGCATCCACAGAGTCCACTGAATTTGTATATTAAATCTGTATCTTAAATCAAATGTGGATTTTTGTCCAATATCTACACTAAGATGAGAGTGTTGTAATTTGTAAAAACACTGCATTCTATTCATACATTAATTAACTAACCGGTTAGCCTAAATCAGGGGTGCCCAATATGTCGATCGCGATCGACCGGTCGATCGCAAAGGTAGTGTGGGTAGATCGCATGGCATTGAAAAAAGAAGAAGAAAAAACCCATTTATTTTTAAAGTTAGCCTATCATCCATCCTTACTTTGGCATTTGCCACTTGATTGACGTACAGATAAGGCAGTCTGAGTTGTATTGTGCCATACGGGTTCATGCAGTTATGAGGGGGCCTCACCTCCTCATCTGAAGCGCAAATGCGGCGCACTATAATGCGCTTATGCGGCGCAATTAGTGTAAGCGCGCCACAGTTTATCCGCCGTTTAGTCCACTAGCAGGACAATAGTCCTAGAAAAATACATTAAAAAGGCTAAAGGTGATATTAGCAGTTAGGGAAAGGAAGCCAGTTAGCTAGCTAAATGCTTTATATAATATTATAGAAAAAGACAGGGAGCAACTCTGAATATCGAAATGGTCTTATCTGTGCCAGAGTGTGCTCCCATGCTTGAAGTGACTACTTCCGAGCACACCCTTAGTGCAGCTAATGCTCTATCACAGCGGTTTTCAAAGTGTGAGGCGCGCCTCCCCTGGGGGGCGCCAGAGAGCTTCAGGGGAGGCGCGGCGTGAGAAAAAAAAAAGATGAGTAAAGTGACACTTGCACACTTTTGGCTGTCTGTGGAGACCGAGTTCCCCCACCTCGCCAAAAAGGCTGTAAAAGTGCTCATTCCCTTCACCTCCACCTACCTGTGTGAGTTTGGGTTTTCCGCATTGACTTTGATCAAAAGCAAGTGCCGGTCAAGGCTGCAGCCAGAGGATGATCTGCGTTTATTCCTGTGTGCATCAAAGACGCAGACTCATTGTTCCCACCAAAGTAGGGGTGAGTGTAATAAGGAGGCACAGTTGACGTTCAGTGTGTTGCCGGGAGCATATAAGGATGTATCCACGATGTTGAAAATGTTAAAAAAATATGTGTTGAGAACACGGCGTGCAAAAATATACGGTTCGTGGTGCAGCTAGATTTGCCTGTCGTAAGAAGGTGTCGGCGACTGACATGCAAGGAAGAACGGCTGTCCACAGGCTGTTCCAACTTTAATAACCGTATTAACTTCCAGGGTAGTGAACTGAACATGCAATTGTAATTGGGTGTGTGATATATTTCCGTGCACGGACACGCATGTTCCACAACACACAAACTGAACAACACTCTGATCGCTACCACTGTCCTTGCGATCGTGTTATAACAACAACAAGTGCACGTTACTGATGCAAGCAATATGGTTCAGACCATTCGGGCTTATTCTAGAGGGGTGCAAGGTAGTGTTGTCACGATACCAACATTTTGGTTTCGATACCGATACCAAGTCAAGAATTGCGATTCCGATTCTTTTTCGACATTCTTAAATGTAATTATTGTGCTTTATTTCACACCAGAACCATAACACAAACTTTGAAACAATGAGAACAATAAATAAAAAAATTACAATAATTCGTATTAAATAAAATTAATACATCTCTTACAGACAGGCCTTGTGGTGTCCGTAGGCTTGCCCTCACTGTCAGAGATATAGCTAAAATACTTCCAAATGTCGCTTCTTTTTTGTCAACAAGCCGAGGCGCAGCGGCAGTTGCACTCGCAGCCATGCTTCTCGTTTTCTCACATGCTCTGGCAGCTAGCGCGTGCACGAGAGAGGGGAGGGACTTAGAGCGTGCTTGAGAGGGGAGGGACTGCAGGCACGGCTGCAGTGCAGGGAGTGGAAGCAGAGCGCTGAACACACACGGCTCTTATTAAAACAGCGCTTTCTCACCGGAGTACTTTTCCCCGTCATTCTTAAAGTACCGATACTAATGAAACGGAGGAATCGTAACGTTTTTAACGGCAGGGTATCGCGGTACCTTTCAAGTATTGGTACACCGTGCAACACTAGTGCAAGGAATAGTCCAAGTAGTGGGGGAGTGTTATACAATATGTTTAAAACATAAATATAAAAAGGTTTAAAAAAGTTATTGTTTAATGTTTTAAGGAGGTGACGCTACTCGGCCCATCAAATCGGTGGAGTCAGTGAGTCAGCACGATAGATTAAAACACACACACAGAGACGAGACAAGAGGAGAGAAACAGTCTTCATTTTCTCTTACTGCATTATAGCAACAACACCAATAATAATAATAACAATAATAACTGGGAGGGGGGGCGCGGCTGTTCTTATATTCTCTGAGGGGAGGCTCACCTTCCCACACTTTGAAAACCCCTGCTCTATCATAAGCTTATGCAATGTTGTCAATACAGAGCTGCACTCTGGCAACTCTCCAATAAACTAGGCTTCAGCAGAGCATCCCAGGAGGGTTTCTTGGCTTTGGTTCACATCAAGAACCTTTTATCCACTGATCCATATACTCTAACTGTGGGGGAAACTTCTGTGTAGCAATGCAGTGGGAGTCACCGACTCAGGAAGGAGACACGGGAAGAGCAGGAGCTTTGATGTCAAACACTGATGGTTTATTTAGGAGCTTCGGCCGGAGGATTCACATCACAAGTCAAACAGTCAGAGGTTCTGACTTCACGGGAGCGTTGCCACGTCAATTCTGAAGAGTCTCTCTCTTGCTAAACCTTTTAACTGGTTCACAGAGAGTAATCAACATATTTGAGGAGATAGACTAAACAGCTGGGAACACTGAATTACTTGCGTCTGACACTTATGGCCTCGAAGATTTCACACCTTGGAGTCCACAAACACCGAGAAGGAAGTGTTCCAGCATTCTCACAACAATAAACCATTTGTGACCGAGAGTTGCCCGGTCATAAATTGGGAACAACAACATATGGCTGAAGCAGCCCCTTTCCTTAAGAGAGATAACAGACGTCAGGGTTGGTCATAAAAGTCAAAGGGCAAAAAGGTTAGATATCTAGGAGTCCAGCAGAATTATTCCCTAACACTAACCACTAGGGCTGCACGATATTGAAAAAAACTGAAATTGCGATATTTTTTTCCCCTGCGATATATATTGCGTTTTTTTTAACTATATTTAACCGGATGAAGGATTTTAGTCACGGACGTCTGGATCTTAACTGGTAGACTCATCATACCTTAAGTCATGATCTAACATGTCATGATAATGCATGCTGCTTCCCCTCGAATAAGGGGGTTCATCTGTGAATGAAGAAGAGAAGAACCTTTTTGCTAGTACTGTAAGCTGCTTTCAGTGAGGTTTTTGAAATCTAGCTTATTCCTGCTGGTTTCGCCAATGTTATCAATAAACATTTTAAGCAGTGAGTTCTTTGTTACCTCTGCAGGTATCCTGATCGAGATGTTTTCACAGCTGTGTCCACCAGTCCCTCTCTGCCGGCCATACAGTGGAAGAAAAACTCCTGAGATTGACGAGGAAAGAATTGTTATACGACTTAAATTAATTATTAATTAAAATATTAATAATCTTAAGAGCTTTAGACTGCTTTCTTAGTGCCTGTGAAGCTGACAATTGAGCGGCCCAGACCAAGCAAGGAGGCCAAATATAACCCGGTGTGGGCATTTATTACAGCATGAACACAATACACACAGCCTCAATCCTGCTGCTGCTGTTCACGTGGGCACAGCCTGCAGCCACCAGGCTCTCACACACACTACCAGCCTCTCTAACAGCAAAACCCCAGAGCCTAAATGCCCAACCCAATCAACCCAACAGGACACAGGTGAGGGGGGAGGAGACAACACAGGGCACCAGGTGCACACAATCAACGACAGACATGGGGAAAGGGAACACTTTTCAACAACAAAAACCTAAACAACCCGTAACGGAGGCCGAGACCTATGAGCCCAGAGATCACCTCCGTGACAGTGCCATTAGGCTTCCCTGTCCGTACCAGGAGCTACAGTCTAAGAGCAACTCTAACAACAACACACACATCTCTCCTGCCGTACCTGTGGTTTGATTCCAGTGAGGAACCTTCCGGAAATAAAGCCCCCTGCGCCGGGGGCAGGGTCATAGGGCTGGAAGCACGGCAAAGATTTCCCAGAAGGCATCAATGGAGGTCTACGACCCTCCAACTCAATCTGGCCTAGTAAACATGAAATCTGAAACACACACACACACACACACACACACACACACACACACACACACACACACACACAGACACACACATACACACACACACACACACACACACACACACACACACACACACACACACACACACACACAGGTTAGTTTATTGTAGGCCTACGGTTGGGTATTATTGAAGTGTGTGTGTGTTTGAGGGTTACCTGCATGGTGTTTACAGTAGAGCCCTTGGCTCCTGATTGGACCATCAGTTGGAGGTTGTTGTCTGGGAAAGACGTGTGGAGTCCCACTGGCATGCACACCTACGAACACACATGAACATATTTAGGGATGTGCTCTTAGTTTTTAAAGAGTGACATTCTTTATAGCTTCAGTTAATTTCTCGACACGTCTGTGTCTGTGTGTAGTACATATTTATCCCCAGTGGACATGATGAAGCACCGTGGGGCCCATGAACTACAGCTTCACTGTGGCAGCCATTTTGGCCAGTGGCATCCACAGAGGAGGAAGCACTGAATTTGACAAGGCTGCATTTGTTCTGTTTTTAAATACCAAACATTTAAGAATTTCTATCAATAATAAAGACACTTTTGTGATGCTGAGCAAACTAAGATACACACACACACCTACTCGCAGCTACATCTGTCACTTTAGTACAATTATTGGATAGAGTATAGTAATAAAGAAGAAAGTGGTGTGCTTTAACCGCCATTAAATGAATGGTAAACAAAGTTGTATTCCTCCCATTCACTAGCTTTCTCCTCTTATTGCTGTTGTCTCTTTTGCCCTGTAGTACATTCCCCTTGGTGCTGCCCCGATTATCCGAGAGGAACTAAAGTAAAAAGCTCCGTATTTCCTCCATAAGTCCCCTGGTAAAGACTAGGGATGCACCGAATATTCGGCCACCGAAAATTATCGGCCGAAAATGGTTTAAAAGGCCCTTTCGGCCGAAAGGGTTTTAGCACCGAAAAAATATCACCGAATGTCAGAACAGGCTTACGTTGGTAACCTAACGTGTTGTTGTAATGACGTAATAAAGACGCGGCGACCATGCTCGCGGCTGGCTCACAGGGGGGGGAACATTGACCTTTGTCATCGAGATTGCCCTGAGCCTTTAACAAATCGTATTAAATAATCTGATGACAGACTGTAAACAGAATAGCTGAAATTTTAACAAACTAAATAACTCAGTTACCTCTAATCATTAACCCATGTTTGTATCATGTAGTTAACTCCGTGTGTTGCTGCTAGCATACAAAACACCTGACGTGGAAACGTTACTCGTGGATGGAGCTACAGAGCTGCTAGAAAGACGGTCGAACCCGGTACATTCCTCCGTCTGCATGCGGTGCACTTTTGCTAAATGTTTAGACAAATTGCTCGTGCTTACATGCTAAACTCTTATTGCACTTATGGTAACAAGTATTCTCCACATCGAGACAGGTAAAGTTTAACCACACCTCGGAGCGCGTTCTCTCCGCCATCTCCGCAGTGTGCTCCGCTGCATGTAGCAGCTGCGTGTGTGTAAACTGCCCCGCCCCCTCGCACACAGACGGGGGAGAGAGATCTCGTCTGATCGAAAATACATCATAGACGCATTTGTTGTCTTTGCATATTAGAAACGAGTTGGCGACACTAAGACTGCGATATCATGTTTTTAGCAATAATACATGACATATATAAATGTACTGTATGCATTCAAAAGTGCTGAATAAATGTTTTATGGACCCATAATAGTGATTATTATTTAAGTTAAGTTTTGCCATAATCATGTCTATTTCCATAATCAGGTAGCTGAACAACATTGGTAAAAAATGTATACATTATATATATATATTTCTATTAATCATTTTTCGGCCTTTCGGCATTCGGTTTTCGGCCAACTGTTTCCTATTTTCGGTATCGGTTTCGGCCAAGAATTTCCCATTCGGTGCACCCCTAGTAAAGACCCTACAGTGGAAACTATGTGCACTGTACTGAATAGCCGCGTTCACACTTAAGTACGTTGCCAGTTGTACTCCCAGCACTTAGTTCCCCTATGGAACTAAGAGCCGATCGCGTTCACACCGGAATAAGTTCCCTGAGGGAAGATTACGCAAATGAGCCGCTGACGTCACTTCGTCTTCTTCTGCTTTGGGTTTACTGGCAGGCCGCAAACAACTTCACGGCGTATACTGCCACCCGAAGTCCCCGGCCGGAAGTCCCCGGAGTTGGGGACTGAAGCCTTCCGAGTAAATCGCCAGAACGCCGACACGTCCTCATCTCCACCGCTCCCATGTTTTATTTTGTGTTGCCATAAGTTAGTCTCTCTGCGTTTGTGCGCTGGGCGAATGCTAATGCTAATAATGCTAATGCGAGGATAATAAAATGGCGGCACTCCAAAAAATGTCAGAGTTTTACAGGGCGTGGTTTGCAATTCGCCCAGCCAATCAGAACGGGAGCACTTTCTTCCCCCAGGAGAGTACCACCTCTCAGCAGGCACTAAAAATGGGGGTAAAAGTTCCCGGCACTAAGTACTCTTTTTGGTGTGAACGCGACATAAGGGATACTAACAGAACTAAACGGGAAAAGTACAGGGAAAAGTACTCCGGTGTGAACGCGCCTAATGTTAGCATTAGCAGTAGTGGTGGGATGATACCTTGTTAATTTCATTGTTCACTTGGTTAGCCACTTCTTTGAACTTGTGGTCGGCCGTGCTGAAGTCTTTCTGGTCGGGGTTGAGGTGAGCGTCCTGCCAGCGGCTCTGAGCCTCAGCGTGGTCCACGTTGGGGGGCAGGTTGAAGGCTGCCTGCAGGGCCTAAGAGACAAGGGAAAATATTTATTAATTTCCAGTTTGCTGTGCATTTCTTTATTACAACACCACACGTGTATATGTTTTACCCCGCAAAAATCATAAAGAAAATCATTTAGTATTTAAAACTTGCTATTTTAATATTGGTTAACTCTCTACGGTGTCATAGTATTGTTTTCAGTGGTAAAGCTCTAAAATCCCACTGTGCACTAGCTCTAGCACTGAAGAGCAGAAAGACAGAGTTATGGCACATTTCCACTGCAGCGGGGTAGCCCCGTTTAAGCGTCCCTAATGGCGCGTTTCCACTGCAGGCCTCGCTCGGTTTGGTTAGGCCTTATTAGGCCCGGCTCACTTTAATGCTGCGCTTCCATTACAGTTTAGGAACTGGGGTAGTTACTATAGTAACGCAGTGTAGGCGGAGCCGTGACGTCATCTTCAATGAGAGCCCCAGAAAAACAACACAGCCGTTAGCTCTTAGCACTCAGAGCTCACAGCTCTTCATATCTGTTCAGAAACTAGACAAAAGTTAAACAAGTACAAACCACAGACTGCCTGTGTCATGGCGAATACAGTCGCTGGTTTATTTATGTCTGTATAGGCCGTTGTTGTGAGTGTGGACGGTCGGAGCATATATAACGTTAGCTTAGCCAAGCTCCATTTAGAAAACACGCCGTCTGTCTGCAGACTTGTCAAAGCATTAATTCATGGTTTTTACTAACCGGTATCAGTATGTTGTTACTTCGGCATCATTTTGAAACGTGTATTACAATTAAATCACGGTCAAATATGTTCATCTTGTTGTAGTTGTAGCCCCCTTGCCAGCGATTCTCTCTCTAGTTTAGCATACTCAGCCCGACTCAGCCTGGTTGTTCCTGACCCTAGAACCACGATTTAGTCGGGCCAGAAAAAAGGTGAAAAAGTAGCCCAACCAAAAACGGGCCCGGCTCAGCACGCTTAAAGCGAGCTACCCGCTGCAGTGGAAACGCGTCATAAGCGTCCTCGCTCAGGCCTCGGGCTGCCTCGCTGGCCGTCCGAGGCCGTGGCGCATTTCCATTACAGTTTAGGACCTGGGGTAGCAACGCAGTATAGGCGGGGCTCCCGTCGAGCTCCCACTGGATTTTATCATCCCCAATGAGATGTAGGAACGTCGTCACCTCCTCGGTCGACCACGGTGTGCTTTTCTTTGACGTTGCCATTTTTGTAGCTCCTCCGTTTACAAAATGCTGTGTATAAAAATGCTGCAAGCTTGCTTCTAGATATATATGCGCCGCTAGGGATGATCTCGCGCGCGATCTTGTGACGATTCTCTCTGACCAATCAGCAGTCGAGAGTGTTGATGTCACTAGTTCAGCCCTGGCCCTGGCCTGATAGAACCACGATTTTATGGGGCTGGAAAAAGAGGGAAAAAGTACCCGCTAGCCGGTACTAGGCTATATGGAAAGGCCACCAAAAACTGGCCTGGCCGCTTGAGGACGATTAAGGACGCTTAAACGGGGCTACCCGCTGCAGTGGAAATGTGCCATTAGAGACTAGCTAGTGATCATAGTGGAGCATTCTGCATTTGTTTGACTACCATTCACCAGATACATGACTCCAGAATTAGAAAAATATGACTCTTGATGGCCATACGAAAAATAATATGGTACACAGCAATAAATGTTGTCGTCATTTGTTTCACAAATCTGACCGATTAACCGAATTAAGAGGTTTGACACCAAATGTTATTTGTGGCAGCTGCAGATGATCTCATTCTTAACTTGTTCAGTTAATTTCTCAACATATTTGTGTGTAGTACATATTTATCCCCAGTGGACATGATGAAGCACCGTGGGGCCCATGAACTACAGCTTCACTGTGGCAGCCATTTTGGCCAGTGGCATCCACAGAGGAGGAAGCACTGAATTTGACAAGGCTGCATTTTTTTCTAATTGCCTATATAAAGACATTTTACATGATCCTACTGTCATAAATATGACAGTTTCTGACAGTTTATTTTGCCAGAACAGTAACTCACTTTGGTGCCAATCTTCAGTGATTCTTGAATGATTTTTTTCCTCTGCCTGTTGGCGCCCGGTTTCACAAGGATGTCTTCCACACCTTGACGCACAAAAAAAGAAAATGTTATTAAACATATTTCTCTTCTTCTACTCGTTGTTAATTAAACACAGATAGACAAATAAACTATGTTCTCTGCAATTTCAGAGGGAAACAAATGTCTTGACCTTCCATTGCTTGTATGTGGGCTCTTACCCAGAGTAAAACCTCTGTACAGCTGCAGGTACGCAGTGAAGAGTCGAGCAAGGCAGCTGAGCAGCTTGCCGCTGGTCGCCCCTCCGTAAAGCTCGTAGCAGCAGTGGACCAGACCGTAGGATGAGGAGCCGTAGTGAGCTTTGTCCAGAACACCCACCAACAGCTCGCCCTGACGGAACACCACCTGGGAAACAAAGAATGAGAAGAAAAAAGAGAGGTTAAACCGTAGGCTGCGGAAAATATGGAAGTAGGTCTTGAAGTGTTATGAAGCTCACATGCCCCTTTCACACCAGTGCTTTTTCAGCTCCGGCTCGGAGCTGGAGCTGAAAAGCGCCGGTTTTTCCTGTTCACACCGCAGCGGCGCCGGCTCTTAGCTCCGGAATCGGGTTCACATCCAGCTCCAAAAAATTGTCGGTCTAGAGGCAAGAGCTTCGGAGCTAAGAGGTGGCGTCGCTTACGTCTCTCTTACGTCGAGGCGTGCAGGAAACTAAACCCTCCTCCCCTGAACATGGGTCGACTGTCATGCCTGCCTACAAGCAGTAGTGCTTATAAACAGGGGTGCACATAACTTTTTTGCCCTGGTTCTCAAAGGAGCACCTGGAGATGTTGCTTGGTGCTCATCCTTAAAATGAAATAAACCGTAACTTTTGAGGGGGTCTTGACTTTATTTGCCAGACACACGGCACTGAACACACATGCAGTGGTGAACACAGAACACACATGCAGAGGTGAACACAAGACAACATTAGCACGACCAGTAATTCTACAAGCTGTCATCACTACCCTCCTGACTGTTCTCCTCACTGTCTTCCTCTCTGTCAGACATGGTAGCTGATGATGTAGGCCTACTTCTTTCTCTCTGGTTGAGTCTGCGATTAGCTGCTTGCATCCACAAGTCAACAGCTGGGTTTGGGTCGAAAGTCTCTGTTGTCATCTTAGACAAGTGGATGTAATCAAATAAGTATGTGAACATAACCAATGGCCTACCATAGCCAATAACAAATGAATGTAACTTATTTTATTTGTGTTGTTCATTCATATCTTATTTTACCTTAACATTTATTTATGCATTTTTTTGTATCTCTCCAGTTTTAAAGGATATTTTTGGTTACTGTCCTATAGTATACATTGGAATGATTTCAAACCTGTTTATCCCAATAATTATAAAGGAGTGCCTTGGAAATATGTGTTTACATAAATTGCGACCAAACCGTTTGAACTTAGACTTTACCTCACTGAGCTGTAGTTATCAGCCTCTCAGTCTGAATGGAGAGGACTCTCCCTCCACATTATTGTAGAAACATATTTTTCTTATATCCGTTAGAGCAGCTAGCACCAGATTCTAATAACAACAGCGCTGGTACCGGTGCACCCTCCCTCGCTCACTCGCATTTTGGCTGTGAGCTGCGGGCGCCAGATAAGCCAACATCCCCCATTTTCATCACTTACAGCGCCCATCGTACAGGGCAAATGAAACGTGTAACCGGGGTGAAAACGGTGTTATATTTATTGTTACATCAAGGCCGAAAATTAGGATGAGCCCCAACGGTCAAAATGTTTTTTTCCCCTCCCAGAACTGCCAGCGCAGCGCCTCCAGAGATCTGGCGCCCTAGGCGAACATCTAGCCAGGGCTACGGGCCGACCCTGAGTTCATATCATGGTTCATACATGTATGCAACTCGCAAATATCTTTCTCTCTCTCTCTCTTCTCTCTCTCTCCTCTCTCCTCTATTTTCTCTTTTCTCTTCTCCCTTCTCTCTCTCCCTCTCTCAATGTTGGTACGCAAATGCGCTTTGTTTCAAATGACCCGGTGCTCTTTTTTTGGCGGAGGTGCGCATGCGCACCTGCGCACCAGTTATGTGCAGCCCTGCTTATAAACACACTTTATAAAGTCAGGCAACACTAACCAGGCTTCGTGTGATTCTGTTTATGTGTACCTTACTTTGACCATCCGTTCATTGTTATTGATCATTGTGGAGAGAGGCAGACGTGTTGTTTTGTATTATAGCAGCTATCGGATGGAATCAATACATGGGCTGCACAGGTTGTCGTGTCCGACTATCACAAGTAGAATCATAATAAAAATACGCCGGTAAAATGTGCCTGTAGAAAACGGTCAATGCCACAATAGGATAGCAATAGCAAGTAGTCAGTTTAGCTTCGGTTGCTATGCTAACATCACCCATTTTATACCAGAGAAACTTTCATAACAGCGTTGTGATGCCAAACAGCGTCAATTCAGACTGACACACATTCAGGGGAACTGGGGATATGTATCAGCTGCTTGTGTGAGTCGGACAGTGAATACTTTAGAGCGGCCGCTGCAGTGTGAGCTAACCGGGAGCTAACGGAGGAGAATAAACTCCCGTGGAAGAGCAGCCAACACTGCTGCAGTCGGTAAATGCTGCAGAAACACATTAATAAACAATGAACCACGGCACTCTGGAGCAAAGTATAAGGTTGGAGAAGTCGTTATTCAATTTATTCTGGCTTCGTGTGATTAAAAGCAACACGATCATCGACCCGACGCAGTTCCCCGTTGTTATTGTTGTGAGCGCCGTAATGCCGTTGGGGAGCTAATAATGCGTAACTTGAAGCCGTAATATAATTTAAACAGATGAGTTACACATCTTTTCTATTTGTAACAGGGATGTAACATAGGGGTTACAAAATGTGGTTCAGGAATGATTGCTAAAACTCAGTAATGAGTTAGCAACTTAGAATTTCCCTTTTGGTCAAATGTCAGAAATGGTAATATCCAGTGAACATTTGAAGCTTAAAACCACCAAGAAAACAAAGTAAATCGCTAAATTGTGGCTTAAAACTGTACAAAAAGATAAATTCAACAGTTTCTGGCAGAAAGCCAGAGCGCTGACAGGTGCAAATAGGGACAACGCTCCTCCACATTCCCCCATCGGACAAGTTTCACTCTGCCAAAAGCTGGGGAAATAATGCAGAGCTAGCATCAATCATGTAGGCGTGTGCTGATTCTGTGTGTGTGTGTGTGTGTGTGTGTACCTGTGAGTCACACATGCTGTCAGGTTTGTATCCTGGGGCAGCTCGGGGTGGGACTTGGATCCACGCTTTGCTGGGGATTTTGGATTTTCCAACCAGATTGAGAGGCACGGCGTTCTGTGGGATAACATTCAGCAGGAGTGTGGAAACCACCTACAAAAAAAATAACACACAAGTCATGACACGATAGTAGTTATTTTACAGGAACATTTTGCAGGAAAAAATACAAGAGCACAGAATGAAAGCTGAAAAAATGAACTTGAGTTTGCTGACAAATGATAGCTTTCATTAAGCACCCCCAAAAGCCGAAGGGTACTTAAACATATTTTATGTCTCAAATCACCTACTTCTGTACTTACATGTACTATTGCTATTTTGCAAGTGCATCCCAATGGCAATTATGGCAACATGATCTATGAGTACCTGCATGGTGCACCACGTTTAAAAAGTTGAGTGTGGAACGCTGGACATTCTCACACTCAACGTTCGTCATCTTGGCTACGTAACTGTGAACACAGCACTATACAAAAAATAGTTTAAAGGTCCCATGTCATGCTTTTCCGGTTATTACCCGTCCCCTTGTGTGTTATAAAGGTTTTTATGCATGTAAACTGTCTGAAAAGTCACAAACCCTCAAAGTACACCCTGTAGCGAGTAAAACTCTAACAGAGAAAAGACCTGTCTATGCTGCCCCAGAACGCCTCGTTGGAGATTTTTATTGTTCCATTTTTTTCTTCCCGAGTATGTGAGTATCTCAATGAACTGAAAAAAGGTAACAAGTGCTTTACCTGCTTCCCTGTCCATAGCTGCTGTGGTTTTATAATGGCGGGTGGCAGTAGTTTGACTCTGCCTGGTTTGTCAGTCAGTCCTCTGTATACCAGCTCTATGTACTGCACTCTGGTGAAGAAACAGCCACGTATCGTCATCCTCGTACCCGACACCATGTGGTCCTGGATCAGACCTGCTAAAGGTGTACCATCCTGAGGAGAGACGGAGAGAGACCTCAGTGCTGACCTGTTTGTTTTTGCCCAGCCTTTAAACTACCACACTGGTAAATCTTAGCAAAGCCTTGTTTAGGCCTAGCTTCAATATTTAACATAAATTGTGTATGTTTTTGAAGATTCTTTCTTTCTTGCAACTGCAGATTATTTGCACTCTTTCATTAACTTCACATGTGTGTTTGTGTGTAGTACATTTATATCCCCAGTGGACATGATGAAGCACCGTGGGGCCCATGAAATACAGCTTCAATGTGGCAGCCATTTTGGCCACATAGGAGGAAGCACTGAATTTTACATGGCTGCAATTTAAAAAAAATACTTTTTAACCATATAAAAGTTCCTTATACAATATGTATGTCAGATAGAAACTGTGTAAAATAACACAATCAGATGTTTTAAGTTGTTGATGCTATAGTTTAGGACTGTGAAAGGCTGTGATTTTGTATTATTATGATTGACTGTGATTTTAATGTTCAATATGCTTGTGACTGGAGCAGAGTGAAAGAGTTTTAGAGAGCAGACGGGCAAAATGTACTGAAACGAGGTGAAGAACCCATTTTAATCCTTAGTTGGATGAAATCATGTGATACTCCAAGGAAATCCTCCACCTGAGTGTGTTCACCCACCTTGGGGACGAGGTACTGCTGATCGGTGCTGACCAGCGTGTAGGCCTCGGCTCGGGCCAGCTCGCTCTGAGGGAAGTGAGCGTTCATTTCGTCGCCGTCAAAGTCGGCGTTGTATGCTTTGCAGTTGGCGTAGTGAAGCCTCAGAACCTGAAGAAACAAATTAACACCAAGTATAATTAGTTATTTATCCTAAGTTTATTTCAAACACAGAAAAAAAGAAAAGAAAGGGGCATGGATGGATTATACAATACCTTCTCTCCCGGTAAGATGCGAGCACAGTGGGCTTGTATGGAGGGTCTGTGCAGAGTGGGCTGTCGGTTCAGTAACATCACATCTCCGTTCTTAATGTGACGATTCACCTGCACAGATAAAACCCCATGATGGTCATTACAGGGCTTAGTTGAATACTCTATTCTGATTGGTCAATTTGGACATCCAGCAGTCTTCTCTTTTTTCGATGGCAGACCGCTGCCAGGGACGCTCTCATCAAGAGACTTCAAAAATCAATTCTCGAAAAGAAGCCTCATCCATTTAACGTCAGTTTGGGCAAAAAACGATTTTGTTTTCCTCAAGAAATCGAAGAGAGCGCCATGGAATACGTTTTAATAATCATTTTTATATGTGTGAAGGGCACGAAACCTTGGATTTATGATGGCTAAACTGTTCCCAATAAAGAAATAAAGGGAAAAGAACAGAGCACAAGAGAAAACAGCAGAAGAAAACAGACAGGAAGTAAACACTAACAGGAACACAGTATGGGCGCTGGCAGTGTTTAAAGACTGGCCAATGGAAATACTTTCTTTATTGCAACTGCAGAGTATTCGCACTCTTTCAATTAACTTCACGTCTGTGTCTGTGTGTAGTACATATTTATCCCCAGAGGACATGATGAAGCACCGTGGGGCCCATGAACTACAGCTTCACTGTGGCAGCCATTTTGGCCAGTGGCATCCACAGAGGAGGAAGCACTGAATTTGACAAGGCTGCACTCTTTTTTTAAATACTTTTTAACTTTATATCAGTGCCTCATACAATATGTATGTCAGATAGAAAGTGTGTAAAAGAACACAATGAGATGTTTTAAGTTATTCATGCAATAGTTTAGGACTGTGGTCGGCTGTGATTTTTGATTATTATGATTGACTGCGATTTTAATGTTCAAAATGCTTGGAAAAAAGGGAAAAGAACAGAGCACGAGCAGGAGGTAAACACTAACAGGAACACGGTATGGGCTCTGGCAGTGTTTAAAGACTGGTCAATGGAAAGAAAAAGTGAACAGACTTGAAAAGTAAATCAGGCAGAGAACCTCGATCAGTGTGATCTATGTGTTTGAGTTACGTCGCTATTGCCATAGTTTCAGCCGTTGGTACGCAGTAGAACAGACTATCTTAGAAAGACTGTCTTAGTGGAAAAAATACGATCATTTTAAATTAGGGCTGCACAATATTGGAAAAAACTGACATTGCGATTTTTCCCCCTGCGATATATATTGCTAGACCCTCCAGAAAAACGCGATTATGCGATCGCATAATTTACCGCATAATCAGAAAAATGGCGCAGATTTTTTAAAGGGCGCAGATTTTTTAAAAGGGCGCATAATCCCCGCATTTTTCCACACAAAGTAGAGGGAAAAAAAGTTAACTCGTCTTGACGTGAAGTGAAATAGTGATAATGATGACGCGACATCATCAGCTCGCGCATCACAGAAGGTAAACAACACCGTAGAGTAGGGGTGTAACGGTTCACAGAAGTCACGGTTCGGTTCATACCTCGGTTTGGGGGTCACGGTTCGGTACGAGTTCGGTACAACAAGGAAAAGCAAAGGAAAGTCCCAAATGCATAATTGTTTTTGCTGTTATTTATTTTTAAAAGTAGTGCAAGTTTTTGTATGAAAATAAGGAACTCTAACATTTGGAATCATTAACTGTATTACACAGTTAAAAACAAAACACAAACAGTAACACACACTCAGATGGCCATATTATTTATATTGGCTGATGTCAAACAAAAAGGTTAAATAAGCTGTACAACTAAAAAGACTGTCTTGAACATATTAAAATAAATAATAAGAAAATAAAATCTGTACCTTTAGGAGCAATGTCTAACATGTGTAATTAACTTGTGAGTGTGTGAGGTCATTATGCCTAAATAAAGGTACTCAAGCTTTACTCTATTTTCAAGTTTGTCTTCAAAAAGATGAGTTTGTCTACGTTGTCAGTAGTGAGGGCAGATCTGTTGGCGGTAACTATGTCACCTGCTGTCGAGAAAACCCTCTCGCTGGAGACTGAGACTGACTCGGATGTGATTGAGCATGTTTGACGTGTTACCACTAGCATACCGCACCGCTGTCGAACAACACCGACACACCGTCCTCGTCCGATCTACAACTCGCACCCCATCATTGTTGTAGTCCACAGGGAACCCGAAATGTTCCCACACACCTGATTTAAAAGAAGCAGGTGGGTCTTCTAGCTGTGTGTTGTGTGAACTCGCCATAGCTAACTTTTCTTCTTCATGTATTGTGTTCGTTTTGTTGTGTTTTGTTCTTGTTCTTCATTTGTTATTTACGGGCGGCTGGCTTTTAGGCGCAATACCGCCCCCTGGATTATATATAGTGTAATACTGCCCTGAGTGACAGACTTTTTTCCCACTCGTAAAAAAAGGCGTATTCGCCGTGTGACTGCATGTGCCGAACCGTGACGTCCGAACCGTGACGGTACGGGACGAATACGGATACCGTTACACCCCTACGTGTGGAACTCACACGAGAGAGAAAACACCAAGATGAAAAAATCTAATCCATCTCATTTACTGACGAACATTTCTGCTAAAGACCGGGCAAAGCAGTTCCCCGATGTCTTGCACGAAAGTGGGGGTAAACTATTCTGTACCCCGTGCAACTGTGTGTTGGAGCATAAGAGAAAATCGACGGTGACGACCCACTTTGATTCATTCAAACATTCGAAAATGCTTTCTGCTGCTGCGGACAAGAAAACCAAACAACTCACGTTCACAGAGGCATCAACCTCCAAAACCCTTTCGAGGGCTACAAGAAACGAGGTGAGTAGCCTACAAGATTGAAGCTGGTCAGATAAAGAACGAGTAAATGAAAACAGAATGAGGCGAAGAAGTGTGTGTGTGTGTGAGAGTGTGATTAAAATAGCCCAATTGCTTTTACAATAAATAAACATTGAATGTGAAATCTATTCTTTTGTTGGTAGATTTGTGAGGCCTGGGTCGCCACCTGCAATGCTGTCAACATTCCACGGTCTAAGAGCGACCATCCTGCAATGAGTAAATTCCTGAATGAAAAAGTAATCAATGGCGGAGCCATTCCAGGATTTCACCAGCTTCAAGAGAAATACTTGGGAGCAGTATATGAGAAGGAAAAAGAAGAGTTGAAGACACTTCTTGCAGGAAAACCTGTTGCTATGATATTTGATCAGACTCCAGATGTAGAGGGGAGATGCGTGCTGAACATCCTGATTGCACCACTCAAGAAGGATCATTCGGGTCGGATCTTGGCCTACATTGCAGACACCGTGTTCCTTGAGCAGTGCAATCATTCCACTGTATCTGTGGCTGTCGTGAAGTGCCTACAAGAATACAGCATTCAAAATGAGGATGTGATTGTGTTGGACACAGATAATGCAGCCTACATGAAGAAGGCATTCAAATCTGCTCTGCAGGCGCTGTACCCCAACTCACTGCACATCACGTGCATGGCACACATAAAGAACCTCATCGGTAATGCCTTCCGCAAACCTTTTGTTATTTGTTACTGATATTCTGAACAATCTGTGCTGTTGTATTTGCTGTAAAGTGTCTCTACTGTAGGCTATTTGTATTATATGTACAGCACTTTGGCTCGTATATATATATATATATATATATATATAAATAAAACTTGATTTGATTTGATTTTGTTCAGTTGAACAGCTTCATGATGAGTTTCTCCCAGATGTTCTTCAATGCTGGATCACGCAAGAGAACATATCTCTGCTTCATGACAAACAAGCTTCCAAGAAAAAAGGTGACCATACCTCCAAACCCCTGTGCAACACGGTGGAACTCCTGGTTCTTTGCAGTACAATACCACAGAGTACTTTGGACTGTACAAGGAGTTCATCGAGATGGAAACACAGGTAAATAAATGTGTAACTTCACATAACAGCAATTATCCCTTTCTTCACCAATTAAGCCCCTTACACCTACACACCAGGGTTTCCGTTAGCCGGTAATTACCGGTTTTTAGCTGGTAAAATGTATTAAAAACCGGTAAATTCAAAACCTGCCGGTCAAAATGTCTGGTAATAATTAGGGAGGCTCCGATAGATCGGCCGCCGGTCATTATCGGCCGATATTCACCGTTAATAGTTTGATCGGTGCTCTCTATAAAGGCCGATCAGGAGAGCTGGATCTGATCGATATGGACATAAACGCGAGTGAAGTATAACCGGACACGCGAGAGAGAGATCAGATCAGCTGCTGAGTCTGACAGAGACACACAGCTCTGCATGATCACCTGAAGCCCCACCTCTGTTTAGCGAGCTGCATGAGAAACTGAAGGGCTGTCAGGAGAGAGAGGGAGGGAGAGGGGAAAAGAGAGGATCCGTTTTTCTCCCGTGTTATTATTCAAAGTTAATGTAAACTTTTGAATAATGTACTTCATCTACTACAAGTAGTTTCTTTGAATGTAATAATTATGTTGTTTGTGGAATCATTTATTGGAAAATGAATCTGAATTTTTCGATCTGTTACGATTATAAACTGAAGCAATATAAAAATGAGCCCCGTGAACTGAGTTTTAAACATCAGCATATCCGGTCATAGTCCGGTAATTACCTGCTAACGGAAACTCTGCTACACAACTCTTATTATTATTATTGAAATATGACCGGTAAGTTTCAAATTGATCCGGTAAAATAAATTCTGCCCGGACATATGACCGGCGAGAAAAAAATCCTAGCGGAAACCCTGCTACACACTAGGGGTGTAACGGTTCACAGAAGTCACGGTTTGGTTCGTACCTCGGTTTGGGGGTCACGGTTCGGAACAACAAGAAAAAGCAAAAAAAAAGTCCCAATTGCATAATTCCAGGTTTGTTGTTATTTATTTTTGAACAGTAGTGCAAGTTTCAGTTTAAAAATAAGGAACTCTGATATTTTGAATAATTAACTTTATTAAACAGTTAAAAACAAACCACAAACAGTACCACACACACACTCCATCTGAGTGTGTGTGTGGTACTGTTTGTGGTTTGCTCTTTCATTCCAGTAGAACTCCTCAGAAACCATTAGAAACCAGTATTTGACCAATAAACAAAACAATTGATAAAACTTTGAACTATGAAATATAT